CCCTTCTGTGGATGCCTGAAAACGCTCCGAACACGGGTACGTGTGGACCCAAAAATTTCCGGATAGAAAAATTTCCGTCATTGTGCATTTGGAATTCCCATTCCTAGCCTGCACCACGCAAAAGCAGTTAAATATGGGATATGGTTGGATTTGAAGGAAATTTTAGAAGTCGTGGTCACGTGATCTGTTAATACAAATGTCGTTAATAAATCAAAAAGTAATAACTTGAATATTTTATACCAATTTTATTTTGTTTCATGTTACACAAGTGACCAATATTTCATTAGTTAGAACCCCATTTTATTTATACAAATTAAAAAGAGTTATAGAATGTATTTATGGTCTATCCTTAGACTCTAGTATATTTGAAATACATAATGATACTGGATTCCGTATTTTCCGTCTTTAGATCACGGATCAAACAAGCATGGATTCCTAATTTTAAATTTCATCCACAGGGACACACTTGAAATCCTGAATAGTTTATATGTACGGTGAAACAATCAGCCTCAAACAAGAGAGTGAATACCAATTTCAGATATAAACTGTAAAAAATTCTTTATTACAAGGTTTTCCTTTAGAAAATCCTTCCTCATCGTCACTCATCACTTAGCTCGAGTGTTTATTGTATATAGATAACCACTGTCGTATTCAGAAATGTACGCAGGCTATGCAATAGCGAGTTCGATAAATGTTTCGATCGTCTTTTTTTCATTGCCGCAGTAAAAATTTTACATCATTATTATCTAAGTATTTCAGKTGATTTTGCTACGGATTGATTAAATTTGTGTATTCTTCGTTTTACTAGTGATGACATCATTGAAGTATAAATATTTAGCATCGCGATCGATAGTAGTGAGCTGATCTCACTCTGGGGAGTTATGGGACATCAGAAAAATATATAATAGAAAAAAGATCTTGCCGGATGATCTGTCTGTGTCAAGCGTAATTTCATATCATGATCGTTACTGTCGTTAATGTAGATTAAGTTATAATCGTAGTCACACCTTAATTTTATCAACCGCGTTATTTTATTCATACATTGATGTGTTTTTGTGTTTCAACTATTATCTTCCTCATTCAGATAAGGAATTCCAGTGACGTCACAGTAGTTATTTTAGTCATTATTGATGACGACACTGCAGTCACACATTGATGACGACACTGCAGTCATACATTGATGACGACACTGCAGTCACACATTAATGACGTCACTAGTTAATTTTGTCATACGTTAATGACGTCGTTGTAGTTATGTTAGTGAAATTGTTAGAATTATTTTAGTTAATATTCATGTTTTATCATTGCAGTTATTATAGAACTTAATGCAATGACGTCGACTTTTAGCTTTACATCTTATTTTAACATCTTATGTTATTGTTGTTATAGCGTTTTCATGACTTAGTCTTCTTAGTTATCTTATTGACTGATGACATATTATTTCAGTTTTCAATTTGTCTAATTGTTATTTCTATACATTGGGATACCTACTGCTATATACAACAAGGCCAACACCAAGAGCTTCATAAACACAAACATAAAKTTAATTTTAAATAATGCTACAGCACCAATTTAAGTTAATTTATAATACGTTAAGTTAATTAAAGTTAATTCGAAACATTATTAAATAAATACGCCCTTTACGTCTAGTGCCTTAGTCTAAAAAATAATAACGAGGAACATCGCTTACGTATTTGTTAGAGATTGAAAGCCCGAAATTAATTATATATACATGCAATTTTTCCCTGCACTCATCATGAGTAAATTATAGGGGAGAGGCTATGCAAAATGTCTATATAGAATAATTCTAACATGGCGCAGAAATGAATTAATCTAGTGAAAAGTCCCATTGCTATGCAACTAAATCCACCCCTCCCCCTCAGATTTCAAAGTCAGCTACTGATAAAAGTAGGATTAAGTGAGAGGCCTTGCTGCTAAAGGACAACCTCACAAGATGCAGATGATACTGATGTWCAAACTATTCAAACTACTAAGCAACATTATTAAGATTTTCCTCTGAATGCATTGCTTTGTTTGTYTGTGCCAACTCTGTGTCATTAGCTGTTTGACTCACAGAAAATGAATTCTTCTCCGCTCTGTAATGAGTGAGTTCAGCAACGAAGTACCCCACCATGCCCAAGATCAGTACTCCAAGGAGTATGTACAACTTGACATTAATGCAAAGGAAGTTCCCATAGGCAAATGCTACTACAAAACCAAGTGACTCCCAAAGACGATAGTTAGAGAAAGCAGCTTCTTGATTGTCAGGGAAATAGCATCCATAAAGAGCTAGACAACGAAGAAAAAGTATTAATGTTGAAAATTCTAAGAATATTGACGAAGCCTTATACTTTTGCCTCAAAGGTTGTGGAAGAAACTGCATAGAATCGAAGACCAAAATGATTTGCTCTCTATAATGATAATTATAATAATAGTCTTTATTTATTTATCTACATAGGTGCGTCTGAGTCCGCATTGGGAACACTATTTTATTAAAATTGTGAAAGATTAAAAGGGTGGGATGGTTGTGGGAAAACTTTTAGCCTGGTATACTTTTCTTTTTCGTGTTTTCTTTCCTACAAATTTCTTTCAGACTTCTGACTTCTTTTTTCYGCACGCCCTCCATTGGATGCTATACAACGGTGGACAACGTATACATAAGACCCCCTTACCCCTTCGTGCAATATTGTAATATTAGGTCTGTATAGCACTTCTCCGCCCTTCTTTCAATRTTGCGTTGAGACGTGTTCATATCCACCGCATCATGCATTGACTAGGGATCTGGATTAATATGCATTTTGTTGCAATAATTGTAAAAAAAATGTCCTCAATATTGTTTTTCATGTTGATTATTGCCCACCGTTGCAGCTATACCGGGAGAGTGATGAGTGCAATACTTGCCGATGCAGAAATAAAAGCACTTTGGTCAACTTAGTCAAGCATTACTTAATGTTCCTGGAAATGGAAATTAGACAGTATATGAAACTAAATACCATGCATATATTTCAAAATACAAACCATTGATTTGGGTTTGCCAAATAGCGTCACAAAATCCCTGTAGAGCTGCCAGCACGTAGAACACCCAAACGAGGCTGGGGTCTGGTCTCCACAAGAGCATGGTGATGATGGCTGTGAGATGCACAAGAAGACCGCTGACAAAGACTGGAAGGCGCCCAGTGTACTGGGTAAGTTTACCCAAGATGAAAGAAAAGGCGGCGTCAGTGACTCCAAAACAGATCATGACAAAACCGACTCGATGGACGCCCAGAGARCAAGTCACAAACGCCTGAAAACGAGAAAAACTATATGAATGTACTGCAATGTTATGTAAGAGAATGACACAACATTGAAATGATGAAGTTAAGTTATGGAGCTCCTTTTAAAAACTAATGAACTAACTCAGACTAAATGAAGTGTAGCTGTATAGTGCCATATTCCAGGAAAAAAGAGCTACTGACTCCTTGTAATATACTAAGCCCTGTTCAAACGAAACTGTACCTAAGRCATTCCACTAACAAAAGATGTCAAGWGTCTTACCGCTGTAAAATCACCAAAGATGAAAGCCTGTTCAAGTCCACTGTAGAAGGTCAATGGAACAATAAGCTTCATTTTATAATCCCGTCGGACGTGCTGGACTGTAGCAATAAGAAGAGATAATCCAGTCTCTTGATCCTTTTTTCGACTCATTTTCCCAGTCAATCTGAAAMATGAGCACATAATTGAATGAGCTTGAATGAAGAAATTCATACACAGGGATATAATCAGTTTTTTTTAGTTGTTCGTCATGATATTTAAAGGAGGAAACAAACAGAACAACAGGGATATTCTCAGCCTACTCCTGGCAACCTTGCTCCCAATGTACTTCCAAATCAACCAATCAATGAACCAACGAACAATAGAAGTGAAAAAAACCGTTTAACTTGATTACCCAAAATTAACTGACACAAACCCATCCAACGAAATGGCAAGAAAACAAAAAAAAACTGGTTTCGGTTCAGTACCAATGGGTGTATATAATTCTTACTTGTTCAAACAAATGATGATGAAGATGACAGCAAAAGCACCAATACCAAAGTAAATACTCAGCATCGTAATTACGAAAGGTCGTTTAGGTGTAAACGAAGGTGCTCCGGTACTATTGGTACCATTGATGTATAGAGTTGCTGGTGGTTTACAATATCGGGCTCCACATACTTCACCAGCATCTGAACGAAACACGTCTTCACCTGCATCAACGAAWAAACAAACTGSTTAACCGTTGYAGSCGAGACAATTAAAAATATGGGGKCTTCARGCCATGCACAWYCCGTTTGCAAAAGTWTCTCTAATCAATCGAAAGATCAACAAACGTAGAMCTGCAAAGCAATGACTTTAGTTAAAGTATTAGGACTTGAGATATATCTTTACCTTCTCCTTGCTGCAAAACCATGGACGAGATGAGATTTCCCCAAATCTGACCACTTTGAAAGATCAAGAAAAAGATGCCAAAAAACCTCGTGACAACAGCTTCTTGTGTTTCTTTACTCAGTTCTGTGTACCTAATGGCTGAAGTTGTCAGGTACGCACACTTTGACGACCACAGAGGAGCCGCTGATAGCCCTAATATAAGGGAATATGAACAATGAGCAAAACACTATAGCAATCGCATAACTGGGAATCCTTAGATCCCTTGCCGACTCCCCCCTCGATCTCACTGGTTGACAAGCAGAAATTCTCTAAAAAAGATCGAAAAGGTATCTCCACACTGCAGGATGAAGCCATTCTATCAGTTCCATCTTGCCTGCTATCTTGATAGCTGCAAGGTGTCTGTTCATCAATCTGAAGCAGTGCTTGCCATGCCTCATCGCTATTCCTTAGAAGATCACCATGCACCCTTAAACTTCGACTTGAGGGTTTCAGTGGTGCCGGGAGTTTACCATTTTGGCTATGTAGGCAATGTTATCAAGCTCTTGCTTGATCTTATTATCTAAGGAATATAAGTTAGCCTAATCCAGAAATGCTTACCAACTAATATCGATGCAGGAATGAGAGTCCAGTATTTGACGTAGTAGTTGGCTACGGTATACAGCACATAACTTATCATGGAGACGACCAACGCCCATTTACAGCCCAATCGACCAATCATGTACGGCGGTACAAACATACATGATAATATCAGCGATGCGTAGATCACACATAGTGATATCAATCCCAGACCTTGGAATATATCACAAACAGTGTCATTGACAGTTTAAAAGAGTACATTTATGCTAATAATTTTCTATCACGCTTGCTATTTGAGCTAGACTGTCTCACACATGACCTATTGCACACTATTACCAACCACCTAAACACAAACAACAAAAAATAAATACCAATAACAGCAACAATAAACGTGCTGGAAAAGAAACAACAACAATGATACTTAAACAAAACTTGTTTGTCACTRCTTGTAGAGTTGTACCCGGTAATTTAAAACATTAGGAGTCATGCATGTAACGTTACAAAATCATGTTAGCTWTTRTGATTAAGRCAYGTAACTTTTATAGTTTTGATCGTCACGCGAGCAAGAAATGAGATGTTTTTGGTAACAATTGGCCACGACTTACCTTTGTCAGCATTCAAGCTGCTCTGTAGATTCTGCAGAGACTGAAAAGCGGTAAAGAGAAAGAGAAAACCGCCRCTTATGATCACTACATTCTTCGTGATGTAAATCTTCTCTTTTCTCTTCTGCTCTGGTGACATWGTGTTAACATCTTCCAAATCTGCACTTCGCTTGTCAATAAATGTTTTTAACGTACCATTACTCGTGTGACCATTTTGCTTCTCCATCTTTTTTGCTGTTAAATAAAATACAGCTTTTTAAAATGATGATGATAAGATGAATACACAACTATGTATGGGTATATGGTATGACTATGTAATCAATGAAGACTTGACGGAAAGTAAACATAAGAAGACTGAATGGAATTAAGTTGAGTGACAAMTTTCACTGCTGGCGAAGACCTAAATAAGACAAGGACTCATCCAGTACGATTTGAACGACTTTAATTATTTTTTCAATCTATTTTTTCTGGATCTTTCTTATTACATTTCAAAGAATATGATCTGATAGAGAAATGGCAATGATTTAATGAGCTAATTACAAGCTTGTACTGTTTCTTCTGCATGGCGTCGACGCAATCGTGTTCTATAATGATAATGTTTTTCTAAAAGGCGTTATGTACTTTTTTGGCCATTTTTTTTCTATTTAAAACCATTTAATATTTAATTTTCATCTTCTCAAGCAATTGTAGCCTGCGTAGCCATGCAGGCGTTCCTAGACGTTCTGAGAGATTTTGGGCCGGAGAATTCCTCCTGGGTTTCTGATCTACAACATAATTTTTTTTGTAGATATCTATACTTCTCGCTTTCTGATTCGCTGTTGCATGTATAACGTCAGTTAGTGACCCTAAATGACAAATGTGCCAGTAGGCTAGCCATCAGCCAATCACAAATGAGTCTAGTCTCTATTTTGTTTTGAATAAATGCTAGCATCTAGTATTACTCAAGAGCATGTCATGTCAAGGAGCTTGGGCGAACATAGCAGGCTCAGCATGTATATATACAGTGCTCATGTAAATTGCGCAAAAAAGGTCGTAGACTATATGTTAAACATTCCCCATGGAACGGAAATCCCGCTAATCTTAAATCTACCTTGACCATGACCTTGAAGCCGCCTTAAAACAGGTTTTTTGCTCTTTGGAATTCAATTCTTTTAACCTTTTTGTGCTTTTATAAAAACATAATTTCAATATTCGAATTCTATAACATATGACAATACCACGTTAGTTTGTTGCCTATCGATGCTGTGTATCGAAACTATGAAAAATGGCATGGCTGGCGCATAAAAAAGACCTCAGATTAAAGAATGCTTTGTATCTTCTATCCTAAAGTAAACCGTACAAATCTACGCCTGAACTTCCCGGCTACGACTTTAACTTCTAGAAGAGTCCTTTAATTGACTGCTAGGGCTAATAAACGCAATTTGTACCTTTTTCTATCAAGGCGTTGTATTATTGCTCTCTTCTCGAGTAGAACTCGCTGTGTTAATAGAAATTTAAGTATTTTTGCAGAGTTAAGTAAAAAGTCTCTTGGCTATTCATATGTAATTTTGAATTCATTAAAACGACATTTGCGCAATTCTAGACACAAACGCAAATAGTAATTTCAGTCTGTCAAAGTAGTGTCGCTTTAGGTCGGCAGAAATCTAAGGCATTCCAATAACGATGATGAAGTAGCTTAGCGAGTCAGCGACTGGTCAAATAATGGGGGCGTTYACGGGGGATGGATGTTGACTCGTGATATAAACATTGCCAATAATCGAACTCTTGTTCTCGGGTCTTTTATTCGTTACCCAAATTATTAAAAGATTACTTCTAATTGTATTAGTAATAAAASTTAATTTTTTAACTATACTAAACAAATATCTTTCTGGTAGTCAAGGCTGCTAGTTGTTGCTAGACGTTAAAACCCATTTCGCGTTCCTAAGCCGAGTATAGTTGAGGTCAAATCGATGTCTGTCGACTTATTTAGATACACAACTTGCAATCTTCCATCGTACATTATGAAAATTGAATCGCTTTTATATAGTTAAAAAGGGAAAAGAAAGTTTTGTTCGATAGTTGCACAGATTATCACAGCAAGAGTTCCGTAGTGGCGAAACGTACACGACTGAGTCGCTTAGTTCGAGCACAGTCGATATCTCCTGTTTTACTAGCTGGAATCGGTATTTCGTATAGCATTAGATSTAAGAGCGAACATTTTGAGTTGTTGTGTGATTCAACGATTCGTTTTCGATCGAAATCGTCTGGCCGGGAGGAATGACCGCAAAAGGTATCCTTGTTTCCAAACGAAAGCATTCAATTATAAAAGAAATTGTATGTCCTTTAAGGAAATAGATTGTCTTTTATATAAACGTATTTGTTAAATAAATGAACAATATTCGGTAGGAGGTTTTTGAAAATAAGTGTATGTACAAGGAACAAAGGTTGAGGACGCCAGCAATGCTTAAGGCGTTAAAATCGGTAAAACTACTGGTATTAACTGTTAGCTATGAYCATGGAGAAGCGCTACGAATCCYTTTACTYCTGTTAGATTAAACAATTAAGCCATAAAACCTACAAACAAACACGAAAATACGCATTGCGTGGCAAAGTTATTGAAAAACGTGGCGTATGTAGCCGCCGGTTGACTGTTGCGCAAAACCACAAACCAACACTRGTTTTGAAAATCCCGGACTATGAAAAATTCGCTCTTTTATCTTACCTTGAAAAATTTTGATCTGCTGAAAGTTCAAATTTTGTCTGAAAGTAGTTTCCAAGGCTATAACKAGTAGAAATCTAGGTCTGTTTCAGTGCGGTGTTCGATTGTTTAGGGTGGAATAGAATGTGTGGACTTGCCGAGTGTTATCAATGTCCAATGGGATGATTGACAGTTTGGCAAATAAGGATACAAAGAGCAAGTCACGCTAACATCGTGTYGTAATTCACTGGAGCAAAATGCATATCTTTTACTAAAGCCTTTTTATCTTACTTATAGGCTAGAATGGTTTATACTTTTCTACAAAGTATGTTGTGTCGTCAAATATTTTCATGAAATAGCAAGGAAGTTTAAGGTAGTCCTGAGCTGGTAACCTTGGCGACCATGTCAATGGCAACTGAATGTAGACTTGTAACTCGTCGTAGATGTTGGTTTGTTTTGCTTTGTTAGTTAAAYTTTAACAACGTACTGGTTTTGTTTGCTTTGTCGCATTAGAGTTATTGTTCCATTACAGTGTTTGAATAAGGGTTTGAACTCGTCAAGCACTGATCATGTGGCAGTAACGCAATGGGCTCTTAGACCAGTCAGTTGGTACTACTGCTAGTGAATCAATTTCATTCATGACTTTTGTTCATTATTTTATAATTCACAGAGAGCACTCTTTTTGGRAAACCTCTTCCCCGAACTCCTTCACCAACCAACAACGTAGCCTGCGTAGCCATGCGTTCCTATTCGCTCCGAGGGATTTTGGTCCGAACTCTCTCGGAGCGGCTAGGAACGCCTGGCTACCAACGGYGCAGGGTACCATGGGTAATTCTGTCTTAACAATCGTTAGAATGTCTCTTTTCATGTCAACTGCGTTTTCTAGTTTATTCGAATTTCGATTGCTAGGATTCAAATCTGTGCTCACAAAGTTAATTTTAATCACATTAGTCATATAGTCGCCGTGTTATCAAGCAAAAATGTTTGTTTAATTTATTTGTATTCTAGAAGACTGGGATGTCATGGGATATGTCTTCGTTGCCACCAGCACAACTGACATGTAGAGATTTCATTTGATTCAAGTCAACTGGTTCATGTGTATTTGGGAAATGTTTTGCCATGCCAAAATAATTGTCGTTGCTTGCACGGGATCCTGTTGTAGATTTACTGCTTGTTTACAAATAAAACTGTTTCTTTTTTAAGGTGGTTTCCCTTAGTTGCTTTAACGTTCATACCTTAGAAAATACAAAAAGAAAAAAAGAAAAAGAAAAGAAAAGAAAATAAAAAGGAAGAAAAAGAAAGAAAAAAATCACACAAAGAAATAAGAATTTTTTTTGTTTTTGATATGGTAACGCTGGTCAAGCTGAAATATGATTTTTTTCTATTTTCATAACTGATCCAAAATTCAAACGTGAAGATATGAATTATGACTAAAACTAAACAGGCTAAAATTCCTAGGATACATCATTTTGAAGCTTCCCTCGAAACCTTAAAAGACTAAAAAGGACATGTAGTGAAGAGCTAGTTCAGAACTTGTCACCAGTCCCCATCAGGAGCCCTACTCGTTCTATTTTTAGAAACAGACTAGTACTCTTAGTTTGTTTTACCAATCCATTGCTTGTTCAATGTACGCCAGGAAGCCCAAASTCTAAAATCCAGAGAATTTATAAGGCTTTGTATGGAGAACTACTATTGGCTCTATAGTAAACGTGCGGCGATATAACAATAATGAAATTAATGATACTTTAATTAACTCCTCAAAAGAGCACAAAAACAATATTCAAAAAGATTTTGATCTTGAATAAATATATATCTAAGCTACGCATTCAAACGGTTCATGTGAAAAATATTGCCTGATTATCTAGTTTAAATAAATATAGAAAAAAAAGTTATAGCTTTCGTGTTATTTTGTTGGYAGTAATTTTATGGTTTTTAGCTCAATTCTCTCCCGGAACCACACACAGCCTAATAAATTTCCTCGATTTTGGAAATTGGGATTCCTGTGGATGTAAATGGTAATGACGGAGCAKGTGCCAAATTTGCTATGGAAGTGCGAAAAAAGCATCAACATAGATCGAAGAACAGGGCGAACCAGCTGATCAATAAAGGGGAGCGGGAGGCATGACAACTAGCTTCAATTTGAAAGTTTGTTGATAGGAGATCATACTTAATTATTATTGTAACAATTTTGTATTTTGGTATTGTGTATCCTATGTATCGACTGGTATAGATAGGATTAAAGTTATTCAGTTATTGCCTTTCCATTTCTCATCCATTCTTGATTTAATGAAGTCTTACGTAGGGAGTACGTGCAAATGCGGGACCCTGCCAATATCAGTGTCAGTTAAAATTTTTGAGGAACAATTTTTGGTTGTCAGTTTGACCTCTTTATAGGCAAAGGCGTAACATTTCGGCAGTTCTCTCATGCAAGTTTGAGCTAATTTAAGGCAACTTTATGCCACTCATAAAAGAAAGAAAATATCAATGAAATTATGGGATAAGTTAAGGTAATTTAGTGCGCTTAAAGACTCCTACTTAAGAATTACAAAAATAATACGACCTTGATCTTTCATATATCTATGCAAGCAAAAATTGTCTTCAATCCATTTTACATCACCCATCTGACAAAAATGAAGAGGTATCAGGTAACTCACCCCTGCCCCCACAGTTCCWCTAGAGAGTCCTTACACCAGTGCTGAGACATAATTTAGTCCAGCGAGTAAGCGAGAACTATGTTTTGTCTTCTTGGTCTTCTCGTTGCTCTTGTTGGRACAGCACTTCATCCTGTATCAGGTAACTGTACATTACACTACATTTGTATGATTTGTTTCATCTCTAGYGGCCGCAGGAAAATACCAATTCAGTGGTGGGAATGATGTCGACATTTAAAATTTAATTTCTCTATTAAATGCGTTAGTTATTGCGCTCAGAGCATAGAAAAACAATGCAAAACATCCAGAAAATAATGGAAATAGAAAATATAGAAAAGAAATGAAACAAACAATTAGTATTTGAAGCAGGTAAAATTGACAGAATATATGGAGTTTGTCATTGAATACTTAGAAGAAAATCCAATTTTTGTATCCTCTCAAATGTTAACTTCAGCCGTGCAGAATGATACAAAAGTCAATTTACGAAATTTTGGTGTAATTGGGAAGAATAGGGGCCTTTCTCACATTATTTCATTATTATTATCAATTCAATCGATCAAGCTTCTGAGACGGTTGGAATTATCTTGCATAAAGTGTAGGTATAGAAATTCAATAAATGGATCCTACATCTAATAAAGACACTGTTTATTGATATTTGTTAAAAAAGTTCACGCATATGTGTTATTCGYGCAATTAAGTACAGAGCCGGTATATACGATTGTATATTGTACATGTAAGTTAAAGCCTTTAGCGTACGACGACCGAGTCTACCTATTATGAATACGCCGGTTGAATTAAATTTAAGTTTAAATGTAAATAGTTGCACGGGGATCGAAATTTGTTTTCARTGTAGTGTTTTATATCTTTTTGATGAACATTCTTACTCGGACCACTTTTCTGACATACAGCATGTCAGTTTACTCAAAACCGGACCAAATAAGTCCAAAAATACAAAGACCATCAAAACACAAATAATGAATCAAAAGCCAAGAAAAAGATACAAACGATAACTTTTGACAAGTCACCATTTAAACGTTCAACTTGAAATAGTACACCTTCCGGTTTTTATTCAAGAAAGCAAATTYAGTTGAACTTTTCAAAAGTGAAAGACAACAACGTGCAGCGATTTTCCGCGACAACAAAAGGTATTGAGTTACAATCCCTTATCATAATCAGCTGATATAATATTTTTTTTTAATAAAAAGAATGTTTAAGTTTGTATGTAGTGATATTTTCTCATACAATGGCTTGGCTGGTATTTTTTCTTCATATAGTAAATAAAAATCTTGCTTTTCATAAAATGATGCAAACTGGAGTCGTTTCGATCAGTTTTTCAGCATCTAAGGCTTATCTCCTTGGGTAAATAATGCTATTACTAATAACAAAAATGATTCTCTTTACCTCTTATTGCTATGGTGACAAAGAAAACAAAAAAAATACATTAAATAAAGTAGCAAATGTAGTTATAATATATGTGATTCCATATCGTTTAGAAATTAGTGTTGTAGCAAAGATACACGCCTTTCTCCTATTTTCTAGACGATTGTACTGTTTTAGGTAGAGTAACCACTTTTAAAATGGAGAATTCTTTTTGCACGGCGGACTTCATGGAGATATTGATGCATATAATTATTTAAGTAATCATGAGTGAAAACAATTTACCTATGGGGTAATCACCGATTTGAAATTGCTATCGTCGCTACCTTTATCTCAAAATTACTCAAAGTAAGAAGGCTAACGACACATTACTGTTTACAGTTCAAATGATGAGCGGACTGATTTCTCAAATTAACGGGAAACTGATTTCTTTTACTTCGATCCAATCACATCCACATGTATACTGATCAAACAATAGAAAAATAGAGAACAAAGAAAATTGAAACCGAATGCACGCTTGTTTATTTATTATTTTTTGTGTTCTTTTTTTTCCAGTTCTATAAATTAATGCTCAAACGGAACTAGACACCCTGATGCTAAATATGCAGTATTTCGTTAAAATCGTGTCGCACAATTGTGGCTAGTGACTGATATCTCTAGTGTATTATTATGGCTTTAAAAACGAAAGCAAAGCAAAAAAAAAAAAAGAATGATGACTATCATAGTCATTGTACATGCAAGGATAGAGTCAAATTCGTATAAGTGGGAAACGGACGGTACTGTACTGTAACCGTAATCGTATACTGTAACCAAATTCTAGTGCCCCATTGGTTCACAAAAGTTGTGCAGGTCAGGTCCGGTAACTGTGCGGTAACCGTGCGGTAATTTCTACCATACTTTTTCCACTCATACGAAATTGATTCTWATGTATTACTAGTCTATAAAYAAAGAAAACAGCTCTGATAATTCCATACAAAATGTTTGATTTCAGGTCAGACTCCAGGCTATGTGTTCATTGGCTGCTTTTATGATTCCAACAGAAGACCTCTTAACAAATTGGTCAAAAATTTGCGCGGTCACATTGATTGGAAAGCCCTGAAGAAGACGGTTGACAGTTGTGCAACACAAATCAAAAAAGAAGGGTAGGTTATTGAATATCGCTAAACGTCCTGACAACTATTCTGAGCCTCTACGTTGTGAAGACACTACCAGGCTAACTGTAACTGCTTCGCTTTAAAATCAATTTAACATCCTTGCACCTGCAGCCTCGTCTTAAATCCACAAGAATATTTTAACACCGTGGCAGCCGTTCTGAATTTTTCCATCATTATTCTCAATTATTAGTTATGAATACTTTGGGGTTCAATTTTATGGTGAATGTTGGAGTGGAAAGGACGCAGCGACATCGTTCGCCAAGGTTGGTCCCGCTCCACTGTCAAAGTGCGGACGAGGCGTGGGAACATCATGGGTGAATGCAGTCTATAGGCTTGTCAATCTTCCACGTAAGTGTTTTGTTATATTTTCGCGCTCTCTAGCTTACCCCTATCCTTAAGGTCTCTATTACAGTCCGTCGGTGATTGAGAATGTGAAACATGTTTTCAACGGTTGAGTACAGTGTAATGAGTTCGAGATTGATCAAAGAAAGAGTGAACGATCATCATGACATCCTTGAGATCTATATGGTAGTCATGTCATACGCATTAATTTATTCACCTAATAGTTCAGAGAGACAATTAATATCTAACACAAGTATTTTTATTAAAGCTTGTTCCTCGGATTTGCAATACAAACCATTACCAAGCTCTGGTACTGTCCAGGAGTTGACTTGGTGTTCAAATGAAACATCGGCTAAGCTGGAAATGAGTTTGGGTTATCCAACACGAGTGACGGGTAAGTATATCCCAAATCAATCTAAACGCTTATGGGCACAAATAAAAGGTTTACAGTCCGCTGTGCTACAATTGTGACTGGTCGAGGAAGTAGACAAATGAAGCTGTCCGCAACAATACAACTGGCAACGTTTGTACTCCCAAAAATCTTAATTGATGTTGGGCGTTGGCCGGTAGGAAAAATGCTTAAACGATTGCTATCAATATTTCTGTTTGGTCCGAGTGCCGCAAATATACCTCTTGCGTTTGACGTCAAAACATTTTCATGTAGGAATTAAAACAAGATATTTCAGCTCTTCGTTTTTCAGTCCTAAAGATGGAGCTACAAGGAAGGGCCTTTTTTCTTTAGAAATCCAGCTTTATGCGGGCACAAGGAGAGGTAGAGAGTGTGCTGATAGTGTGAGCTATGATCCTGATCAGGTCTTTTTGTTCTTTCAGGAATTGGTATGCAAGGGAAATACCCTGATAAATGGATGACTTCATTTACACTCGAGTACTCCGAAGGAGAAATGTTTGTACCTTATGTTGAGAGAGGTTTGATAAGGGTAAGATTTATAATAATACATAATCATACCTTTTTTCCATTGTTGGGTCTATGTGTTGGAAAATCTGTTTTTTTTAAATAGAAAATACATATAGAGATGAACACTAAAAGCATTGCAATTTTACTCTTAATTTGCACTCAGGGGATTTAAAAGTGTTATAGCTAAAGAAGATTATAGCTAAAGTCGCTCATTCCAGCACCCACGCAGTTTAGGTTCTTGTCCCCAGTTAAGCGATGACACACAAGCTCTCATCTCAATGTTTTTCTAACGTGGCAACAAGGTAGATTAGAGTAGAAGGGAAAAAAGCATTCGACTCCAAGACCCTGACTCCTGACTAGTGGTATGGTCTAGCTGGGAAACTACAGCCCTAACCATCCGACTGTTAACGATAACTAAAGCACTAGTTTTTTTTAATATAAAATGGATTGACTTGGTCGTTGTGGTCGTCAAAGTAATAGCACAACTATCATTCTAGATCTTTCAAGGCAATAGTAACTGGTACGACCTTAAGATCATTTGGCTTGTCAACCCATCTGAAGGAACAAGATTTCGTATAGTCCCTAAGACCTGGACGCCTTATCCCGGCCCTGTCTGTGCTCGTTTTAGACTATTTGGCTGTAGACTGCACTAATGGGACGTGGTAAGTAGCACATTTTGTAGGAGTAGGTTAAGGGCGATCCATTATAGTTTTTTGAGGGGGTGGGGGGCTTGAAARATTTTGATCTTGCAAGATTTTTTTCTGTAAATTTGCAAAATCTTTAGTGGAGATTTTTCAAAGTTTTGCCTTGCACTCCTGTATTTTGCTGGCATCCAGAAGGGTGCCGAGAAAGAGAGTGAGAGGAGACTTTTTTTCTTCCTCGTCGCCCGAAATATGAGGGTTACAAAGGAAGCACGTAAGAGATAAAAGAGTTGCATGGGAAGGAGTCTAATTTGATTCCTGCATTTTTGTAGTTACTGCGAAGACCAACTTCCTTGTACTTAAAGATTGAACCCTACTCTTCTTCTGACATTTTCTTTGCATTGACAGATAACAGATCAAGTATATACGTAAAATACAATTGGATAAAAAGTTGTGCTAAATGATCAATAAACAAAATTGCAATCATTGTTGTCTTATTTTGATTGGAGATGCCAGCAATTTTTCTTCAATTTCTTCCCTAGTAAAAATATCACACTGTTCACATCAAGAAATAACAATCTATTCTAAAAGTAATGAACATTCAACTCGACAAAAAAGGACTCTATAGACATGAAAGCAACACACTTCCAGACAGATGTTAGAGGAATAATTCTAATAAAGTAAGGGTCGACACGTTCGATATGATAACGTTATGAGAGCTGACTGCATCTCATATGTGCACATGAAAGGCCGTACGCTTTTTTCCGCAGCTAGCGATCCGCAGTTTGGTTCAGTTGCCACAGGCACCGATTTCTCGAATGCGAGTAGTTTTGGTTCAGCATGCATGTGCTTCAACTTTAAAATTTATTTATTTTTACTGCGGTTTTCCGTTTTCTGCGAACTTTAGCACTGCGAACGTTAACGGTCATTTGCTGTTTTTGCTTGCGTCAATCAAAATTCCGAAGTAAACGAACTACTTTCGTGACTCCTCCCACAAAACCAAACCAAGTCCGAAAGTCCGCCATATTGTTTGTTTCTTGCCTCGTGAGTTTAGCTCTGATCTTCGATGGAGAATTGTTTTCATGCATGTCGGCCACATTCCCCAAAAACTTCTTCCAAGTACTGCCTGTTGGATAGACATTTGTGCACAAAATCTTGGCGATATACAGGAAAATTGGAGATGTTCGAGATGGCGGACTTTCGGACTTGGTTCGGTTTTGTGGGAGGAGTCACGAAAGCAGTTCGTTAAAGTTCCCAGAGCTAAAGTTCGCAGAAAACGGAAAACCGCAGTAMCTAAAACGTCAACTGCAAGAGTGAATGTAGTTTTGTGTTCTATTTTTTAATGATTATAATTTAAACAACAATTAATTCTTTATGTTTTGTCGTTCARTAATGCTAATATACGTTTGTCTTCCTCGGCTGCATGGTTGTCACCTGCAACGAATAGGAAAAGAAGAAAAATCAATCAAATGTAGCAAAGTCTAGCAGGATCAGTATAAATAGCACATTTGCGACATGGAAAAATGCGAGTCCTATAATGTATTTTTTCGCAGCCGAGCCTTTGCACCAAAGAAAGATAATTTTTTTTTCAGTGATCGCTACTTGTGAAGAATCTCGCTTTGACGAAATTATGTTGTTTCATTTCAATGTGGTACTGGGAATTAGTCAAGCAAATCTGCTTTTTTAGGATATTTGGCGAAGAATGTATATGGTATCCAAAATACCATGCGATACCTATCATTTAATTGCCCTATTTCATTATGACGTCATCGTATGTTTACATGCTTAGAGAAAGTGGAAATTTTGCACCTATTTATAATATTTCCGTAATTAGAACTTCAATGAGTATCATGCATCAAGATTGCTCATGTACATTTTATTTGATATACAAACACTTTGTTCCCATCTGGTGAYAATAATGGCATTAGCGTCAAAACAATAGCATATTTTGGTGTGACGTCATAATGAAATAGGGCAATTTATCATTTGATTTATGATTGAACAAAAAAAAGAAAGCTATAAGTGATAATACCTAACTCTTTTACTCAGCGCAACCATACACTCTTATTTTCATGCAAATAGTCGATACCCAGGATTTGGGTTTGACTCTCAGTGACTTTGCATTGATTGGAAACTTCAGCCAGTGTGTTTCCAAAGTAAATCGGTCCGAGTTTCCTGTAAACACCTGCGATATAGGAAAAGTAACAATGATTACTGCTATCGCTATCAAAATGAGGGACAAAAATAAAACAAGAGAACCGTAAACAAATAACAAACAAACGAGAAAACAAAAACAAAGAAAATAAATAAAAAGCAAAAAAATAATTGCAATATGATGATAAGGAAAAAAACAGCTAAATAGCATAATTTCACAACGAGACAGAAACGACGATAGTCAGTAGTAACAAATTAAAATTGCATCAMATTTTATGTCCTTATGATAGAAGTGTTTGGTGTTGTCTTTTATGACCATTACCTTAGCTACTTTGTGCGGTTCTTTGTAAGGCTTCCAGGATTCACCGTCCTCACTGTATTCAAGTTCGTATAATGTTACCCAACTGTCTTCGGTTCCTCCTTGAGTGCCGATACCTAGTGTATGAGACGATTTCACATATCATGATACAATAATAACGGAATTAGAAAGTTAGTAAAAAGGTGCTTYCGGTGTTGATAGAGGAGGGGGTCAAGACGTCGGAAGTACGAAAATTTTTTGTTCTTTTAAGAGTTCAATAAAGTTACCAGTAATCTTCTTAGAGCTTTTTAAGTCGACCTCTATCCAGTGATTTTTCTCGTTGGAATCGTCGACGCACCAGATCTCCYCGGACACTTTACCATTGCTTACTTTAGAATTGAAGTCCAGTTCGTTMGAACAGGCTGAAAGATGAATCCGACAGAAATTTTGAGTTCCCTCCTTAATGGGAGTTATTTTAAGTGATTTCTTGCGAACCTTGAAGATATTTTGATCTAATTTTTAAAACAAAGATTGATTAAGTTCTACTTTGCTTCACATTACCTGGTATATCTTCTAATCGGTACACTGCGTTAGTATCAGTCTTTCCTACTCYGYTCCAACARTTATCCGATTTCCCATAACTTGCAAAAGTTTTGCCAWCTTTTTTTCCTCCCCAACAYTCACCATAGAACTGAACTGCAAAATACTCATACCTAAAGTAAAACATACATAATAAGTACTGTTGTATGTAGAGAAAATGAAGTAACCTGTCCTCCATACTGGGAATTTGCACGCGTCATGATGAGACTTGTTCATTTCATTTTTAAACTTTAAGTTATAATTAAATGGCTAAATCGCATCTTGTTTGATTCTGGATTTCTTTCCACAACTCTCTTCCTCAATAATTTCGCAGTTTTTGAATGAATGTCTTGGGAGCCTGACTCCSCCTATATGGTACATGAACATGCTAGATGCACGAGGATTGGCAACAAGCTAATAATAATTTTCTTCTAAAAATCGCACGAGTAGGGCTCCTGATGGCCGGGGATAAGTTCTCTTAGCTCATTCGCTCTTGGCTTCATCTATATAGGATAACAAACAAACGAATAACAACATCTGTCAGGCTGTTATCTACCCTTCACTGACTAYTCCTCATATCATACTCAGAATCGATCAATGCCTTTCTTAGCAARCATTTACCGGAATAGTAATAGGAATCTCCTATATCAGATGCCATTTGGGTGCATTTCATTACAATTTCATATTCACCATGTAGTTGCTTCKTAAGATGTCGCTCGTATAAAATAGTCTTGTTAGGTTTTGGCCATTAATCAGTTGTCCGTTTATATCGTTTCTACCTTGTATGGTGAAGATAGATTCTAACCTGATTTTCTTAGCCTCTTCCGCGCACCGCTGGACTGTTTCTCCCATGTTATACCAATCAATTTTTCCTCGGGCATTAAAGTACAATTTAGCAAACGCTCGATCGTCTACTTCATCCGCAAAACAACCAAGATACACGAATGTTGCTTTAGCTGAAAAAAAAAATGAATAAATAAAAATGACAACCGCAAACAAACAAACAAAAACAAAAAAATCAACAACTTGGCAAACAAACAAAATATCACTATCAAAATCACAAAATTCATATAAGAAATTAAAAAATTCCGGGAAATTTACAGGTTTTTATTCATATATAAAATGTACACACGTGTACACGTCTACAATTTCAATTAGAGTGATTTCATATCTGTTATTGATTCCAATTCCTTTCAAAATATTGGCAAACCAAATTGCTTGATATGGATTTCTTCAATGATACTCCATATAAGAAACAAAAGTAGAGAGTTCCATGTCCATTTTTCGAAATTGATTGTGCGAGAAATTGGACCTCAGGAACAGAATGCCTTTAAAAATGTATTTTGATCTTGACTGGCACATTACCATAAGAACTAGAATGAGTTTCTTCATAAAGCACCGCTATATTATAGTAGGCTTAGGAAACTTACGTGCTGAAGTTGGAGCTACCGTTGTCTCTTCTGTGACTGGAGGAGAACTGGTGACGACCCCGTGACCACCACCTCCAGATTTACCTGAAAWTCATGAATTCTTGAAAGATAAACCCCCCCAAAATTATACTCCTTTTATAATTGGCAGACAGAGTGCAAGAACCATGTAATCCCTCTTTTTTTCAATTGGCGATTATCGATATGAAACACTTACAATTCACTTGTCTACTCTCGACGTCTTTGTTTRAGCACAAAGTTTTGAGACCATCACAGTTGTCTGACTTCTCGATCTTCTTGATTCCAGCTGTCACATTCTTCACGCGTATTAAATCGTAACATTTGGTTTGTGAATTGTAGCCTTTTGAAAACCAGTCCGTCCATTTACACACCACTTCGTTACAGTTACCTTAAATAACGATAATAATAAAAAAAAGTGCTGGTGACGAAGGAGAAAAACTCGAGGGACACAAAAATACTAATGTTCTTACATTTGGTTCTTGTTTGATCTCTCTCCACCTGGCATGGGGCCAACCCACTGCACGAATCACGTTCAATATAAATGACACTTTTGTTGTACGCACGTGATCTGGTCTGAGCTACACAACCAACCTCAGGAAGGTCCCCGCTCCACGCTCCCCACTCCTTAAGAGTACAATCCTCTCGRTAAGAACAGTTACCTATAAATAACGATTAAACTTAGAAAGGATAAAGAATTATAGATGTAGAAATCGTGAATATTCTGTGTAAGACTTATCTTTATTTCATGATAATATGAGTTATATATACCAATACGTACACATTTTTCTCGATTCCTTTGGTGTTGCACTACACGAAGTTGTCAGTCCATCACAAGTATTCTCTTGGTATTGAAGATTGCTGGTGCTTGTAATGACTTTTTTACGTTCCTGTGATGAACACGTGTCTATTGGGATTTTACCAGTCCATGGTCCCCAGTCCCCAACCTCACAAGTTACTGTTTTACATTYGCCTATGAATATATAAATATACAAATATAAAAGTTGAGATCTTATATTCACGCGATTGAACTGGACTGAACAAAAACTTTTGATAAAAAAAATTGAAGAAACAACTTTCCTCGATCGTGCAAATAATAATTAATTGTGGCAATTAATTAAATTGATAAAATTTCGATTAATTTTCATGCTGTAACAGCCACCGATCAGTAAGTAATATATAAGTTTTGAAAATCTAGATTTTAGTTCTAATTTTAATTTCATTATCAAAATAATCTCTTGACATTACAACTTGACAATTCAATTTTTTTTATTGTTTTAAGACCCCCCGTAAGGATTTTCTAGTTAGAAAGAGACGGGGTACTAGGAAGAAGAAGAAGAAGTAATGAATTTTGCACCAAAGCAGATCAATTACAATAATAATTACCATTGCAAGCTTTTTATAATCACACGAACGAACAGAGAATAAAGCTTACATTCCTCTAATAAACGGCTGTTACTTACACATAGATCGTTTTTCTTGGTTGTCGGCCGGACAGACTGTTGCGAGACCATTACAATTACCAACTCTATCAACGAATGYATTCTCTGCTTTGTAGGACTGGGTTCTACTTTGCTCTCCGCATGAACCTGCACTGATGTCAAGTTTACTCCACTCGCTCCAGTCCCCAAGCTCACACTTGACATATTTGCATTTACCTTGTAGAACGAAAATGGCTTTTATGAGTAAATGAATGGCAATGAGGATTGCCTCCATTGCTATTACTGGCAATCGCTGGAAGCGATTAATAGCATGTTTTGTAGTGGTATTTGGGTCATAAATACMACGCGTGATTTCAAAATTGTCAAACAAAATTTTACGAGCGAAGCGAAATATCACAAGTGGTATTTATCCCAAATTCCACGTACAAAACATGCTATTATTTGTTTATAAAATGGTTGAATAAAACTGTGTGATTTGAAATACCACACTATTGAGGATAAATACCACTCCTCTAAGCCAATCAAATTGCACAGTTTTATTCAACCATATTATAACAGGTAGTAATACACGTATCAAACCAAACTATCTATTCACACTGAAAATATAGGGTATCCCTAATGGCAAAAAAATCCTATGGCAAGTTATTATTAATAGCTCCTTTTTGTTTGTACTAAATAAACCTGCAAAATCTCTCATATTAGAAATATCAACAAACATTAAAATTACTTCCAAGGTAGGAAAAAAAAAAAAAAACATAAAAAAAAAATAAACAAGCAAATACAAGAACAACTGTTTCAGTCGAATAGCAGCCAACCAGTGGTTATGGAATTTGTATCAATAGTCACATGCAAAGCAGCGGAAAATATGACGGCTGCYGAAGGCAGACAGATAAATAGTTAATCCTGGTAGCTCTACCGAAACAGAGGCATATAAGGACAATCAAAACAGCTACAATAACAACAACTAATAACATAGAAAACAGAAAACAGAAACAAAAGCTTCAATTCAGTAGGACAGTAGAATCAGCATCAGTGCCCAAACAGGATAGCATGCATGGAAGAGATATTAATGGAACGTCAAACGGTGCGCTTCATTTCATAACTCTGCAACTTACAAAATGTTCTTGATTCCTTTGGTTCTTCAATGCATTTTGTGTTCATATCCTTACAGCTATTACCCTGCGCGTGCTTCAGTGGAGATACATATGCTCTTGTTCGGGTTTGAATTTTACATCCTTCTTCTGTAACATCCTCACTCCATTTACTCCATTCCTTTAAGGTGCACGAGTCGCGATACTCGCACATACCTATGGACGTTAAAAAGAAAAACAAAGTTGAAAGTTCTCTATTTTGGATGAATGAAACACAACTAGAAATCATAAAGAAAAGAAAAACTGAAAAATAAACTGTAAATAAATTGTAAAATCCAATTAGCAATTGACCATATGAAAAACGAGCAGAAGACTGGGAACGAGCACATTAAACGGTCCATATTTTTAAACATCTGTTTTCACCGTACGGAGGAGTATATCTCAACTGGTAAATTGGTGGAGGTTTAGTAAAATGTTGAATATCAGCACAGTTACGAGCATTTGAAATGTAACAAAAACGTGAAAACGAGGCTGGCCTTTTCAATTTCAAACACCTGTAATTTCTGGTCTTTAAATGTTAGAGCATAGAAACTTTCAGATCTTATTCATTGTAATGTGTTTTTTAAAAAGGTAATAATATTTAAAAAATATAATATTATAATAATATTTAAAGGTAATAATAAAATTTTTAATAAGGTAAAAATCCTATAAACTAAGGCGTTACGATAGCYACTCCCTTTTTTATATGGTCTATGAAGTGGTCTCTGAACTCCTGGCCCAACGTACTATTTTTGAATATTGTTTAGATTTGACTTCTCACCTAGATTACCTTACATGGCAATATTAAGATTGCGTACGCATGATGAGATACGTAGCAAATAGGTGAATCAAACGACACAAAACAGAATGGATGTAATGGGCTGCCACGAGAAACAGCTGATCCAACAATAAYACAAGCAAAATCAGCAAAAAGATGAGATTCTGTACTTACATTGCTCTCTTGTCTTGAAAATATCATCAGGACATTTCTGAGGAAGTGGCGGACATTTACCCACGTGATCTTGATAAGCCAGWGACGTTTGATAGGTTTTTTTACGAGTCTGCTTCTGACCGCAAGAGCCCTTCTCGAGGTTCTTTGGRACCCAATCGGACCATTCACCAAGCCTGCATGTAACGTACTTACAGCTACCTTTAAACGGAAGAATTTGCTGTATCATTTGCTCTAAAACAATATGATATATCTGATCAACGCGCGCGGACATCTGAAAGCTCAAGGGTAAAAAAAAAAAAAAAAAGAAAAAAATGCCAAATCATATGACTGACTATTTGCTTTCATGGATCAGCAAAAATATTGCCTAGTCTTGTGCGTTTGGCTGTCCATTGTCCGTCTACTCAATATAATAATCGAAGTTTGATCGTATATCATCCAAACTGAGTTTATACTTATCATTTTACAACAGGCTGTGTTCGCTGTGTTGCCGAAAAGGTAAATGAATTCATATTGTTGTTCAGATGAAAAACGATTATAGAATCGATAAGAGAATCACAGAATCAATGATCGAATATTCATTTTCTTACAATGTTTTCTGTTTTCTGTGAGTGGTGCAGGACAGTCTTGAGAGACTCCAAAACAATCACTTCGCTCATCATAAACAAATGTTGTATCATAAGAACGACTTCTTGTTTGACTTCCACAATTTCCCTGAGATACAGAGCCTGACCACTTGCCCCAGTTTCCAAGAGAACAAACCGCTTTTTTACATCTACCTGGGAATTAGACATTGAAGGATATAGATCTCATTTTCGCTAGATCAATTGAAAGATGAGGGCGGAGATGTCTTCATCTTTTGCAGAAAAGCTAAAACATTAAACTTTTAATTTCTCTTACATCTCTTTCTTGTGTCAGTGATTGGGTATCCGCACTCTTTAGGAACGTTGCTACAAGAGTCGATTTGCTGTTCAGTTGTCCAAGAAACTGTATATGGCCGCTTTCTTCTCTGTTCTCCACACTCCCCCTGACGGATGTCGCCAGACCATGATGTCCACTGGCCCTGAGAGCACAGGGCTTTCTTACAAACACCTGAATGAAAAGAGCACATTGCCACAGTATCAGTTTCTTTGAACATAGACTCATATGAAACATAAACCATGTAKTATCATACTGAATCAACTTTCGAAAATGTGGAATTAGAAAGAGCGTGGGGGGACTGGGGGGGAACTCTCTAATAAAAAAGGGCGGGGGTCCTCTTCGTCCCTTTTATGGTTTGAAATCAGTGTTTTTGGTCCCTGTTAGGGTGATGATGACGAGAATTCCCACCAACTGGTGAGGTTTGTGGTCCCTTTTAAKTAGTTTTTTAGCTTCGATTTTTCGGATAGAATAAAATGACAGGCAGCCTACTCCACTGGATCGAGTTTTGCTGTGCAAATTCCTCCCGTAGGGGGGTTATGTTTAAGACATAAGCAGCTCGTCAGCTTTGCGCTGATTGGCTAGTCACATTTTCTCAAATCACCCAGATAAGAGCCGACGGCGTTTTTAGCTTGCGCAAAGCAGAATGACCTTTTATTGATTGGTCCCTCTTAGGGGTAAAATTTCATCACCGCCATGCCCATATCATCTCACAATACAGGTCCCTTTTAGGGGTCATTTTCAGAATTTCCGACGAGGATCTCCGCCCTTTTTTATTAGGGAGTCCCCCCGGGAATAAAAGTCATCTAAGAATAATCTAAGAYTTACAGACTACTTACAATACTGTCGGCTTTCAGTAGGGGTGACTGGACAATTGGTWTTTAGTCCATTACAGTTCCATCTTCTATATGTGGTTTGGATAGGATACCTGTAAGGCTTAGAACGCCTTTGGGTGTAGCATTCATGGTTCCCATAACCGGCCCAGCTCCCCCATGAGCCGAACGAGCAATCTCGGCGGTATTGACAACTGACTATAGAAAAAAAATATAATATATATGAATTTACAATATTGCCTGTTAAGCATTCAGCTGACACATCCCCTTATCTGAGCCAACTCCCATTAGTAATTTCTTTTTGAATTCAAAGCAAATAACCGCTGTTTTATTTGGAACAGATTCTCTTAAGCAAGAACTTACCAAACACAAAAGAAAGCACGAGTAAATGTTATTAGTACAATAGTGCTAACTTTATATTTTCCCGAGTTGAGGCTAACCCTGTATTCCCACAAGGTTGAGGCATTAGGTCTTATGGGAATGCAGGGTTAGTCTTAACTAGGGGAAATGAACATTTTTAAGGCTACTGCAGTTTTTCGGTATGATTCGAAACTGGWGTATTACGGTGTCATCAGGCAGAAGGCCTGCGGCACGGTCTTAAAATGCAGCCAATTTTTTTAATACATTTTTTTCCACGTCGCAGTTTATGGCGAACTCTGATTCCGAGATTCGATCCTCCACTCGAGTATGACTGAAAAATCATTTCTCTATTTTTTCTTTCTTCATTCCTTTTTTTTAACTAAAATAAAGTTGTTCTAGTCATGCTGATTTTTATTGTAGATATTTGATTTATTAATATTTACGAGCCGTTTTTTAAATTTTACACACAAGATCATACTCGAATAGTGTCGAACTGAGGATCGTGGGTACGATTCTCGACACGAGAATCAAAACTCTAAACAATTTTTTTTCTTTTTTTAACTTTAAAATACACTTGTTCTTTTTTTTATAAAATGCAAAGTGACTTTCCATCCTATTAATTCTCAGAGTACAATGCGAATGTAATCCGAATGCTAATTTATCAAATTAAATAATCTTTATACAACTTTTCAGTAAAATCAGACGTTTTGATTGGTTGGCTTTCGTGTGTTATCAAAGTGTAGATACACGGATTACGTCAAAACTAATTGTTTGTTGTATAAAACAGATAGATCTCATTTTTTAGTGCGTGTGTACTCTAATAGATACACAGATGATGTCAAAATGTGGTGAGAACAACAGTCACGCACTCGACTGCGTCTCTACGTCATCTGTGTATCTATTAGAGTACACACGCACGGAAAAATGAGATCTATTTGTTAAATAAAATCAATCATGGCGGCGCTTATAGCGTAATTGTTATAACATGTCATTGTTTAGCACACAATGAGTTTTGTCAAAGAATTC